GCACTACATTTTCGCGCTTACCTTCGCCGAGATTCATCGTGTCTGGAAACGTGTTTATTCACGTGTCTGTGAAGATATCCCGAAATCACCAAAATCAAGCCAGTAATGGCTCAGTTTGCTGTTTCGGAGGATTACAATTGCCGAAGAGGAGACCTCGATTCTGCATCGTTTCCCATTTTGTTGTTTTTGGTTCCAGGGAACTAAATCTCATTCAAATCAATTTTGCGCCGTTGTTTTATCGCTGTTTTTCGTGATTTCTTCTAACTTATCTGTAATTTTTCACAACATCCTTTCTACTGTGTGATTAATTTTGTTTTTTGATGAGTATTACTTTAACAATAAAGATTATCGACGATACTTCTCCCACACAGAGTAGCTCCCCAAAAATGAGGAAGTAAAATCTCATTCTCACTTGCCGTTGCTACTTTTCCAGCCAATCTCTCTCTATGAATCGTTCATTCGTTTTGATGGTAAATTGGTACTGGTGTATGCCGGCGGTCCAAAACTGTCATGATCTCTGCTTTTAAGCAATTTTGTCAACGTACCAGTTAAATGCCATAGTTTGGAAGCTACGGTGAAACTCCGAGCGAGGTGCTGAAAGTGTCAAAATTGCCAATTTAAAATCGAAACGAATCAGTGATACGTCATTTGAGGCAATTTGCCCTGGAAGCCTGAAGGATTTGCATCTTAATTATGCGAGAAAAAAACCACTTGGAGGCACTGTGCCGAATCTGTGACTGCTGTAGGATGTGACACGGAAGAGACGAGATCTCACTGCAAGGGAGGGCAGCAGGCATAAATCCACTCGTTACTCAGTTCTGCTCTGTCAGTTCGACACAATAAGAGGCTCGGCTGAAAGGAGCAACGGAGGGCAGTGAGGAAATGAAAACGCAGATGAGCAATTTAATGATTTCAAAACTCAGCTGAGACCTCGTCTCGTCCCACGAACCTTCACGGTCAAGAGCTGCAGAAAGGGACTGTGTGTTTTTCCTGGTCAAAGGATTGCCACTTTTTTGTCGAGACTATCTCTCTAACCAAAAAAGTCCGAAATGTATCCACACACAGTGAGGTAGAAAAAATTGAAAATTCAAATTTTTTTTCCCGTACCAGTACTTTTAATTGTATCAGCGTTCCCCAAAGTTTCAGTCTTCTAGCTTTCTGGTTCTCGAGTTGAAAGTGGGACACCACTCTCATGGGATCACCATATCGGTTGTCCGGAGGTTCCTGGTATTCCTGCTAATATGTTTTCCGAAACAAACCGATTCTGACAACACACGACGAGTGAAATCCCACAGCTCGGACGCTACGATGAAATTCAGCGCGAAATGCTAAAAGCTTTTCCAGCATCCTGGCAATTTACGGTGGAGACGAATTATGCCGGTTTCCTAAAAGTCGGATTTAAACTCTGGGAAAGAGTACCCGGAACAGTGAGTACAAGGCCTGTTTCTGCTAAGGAATGTGATTTGGAGGAGATCAGAGGACCTCGGTGCGACAGAGGCACAGTAGCAATCCACTGATTACTCAGTTCTCCTTTGTCGGCTTCATTAATCAGAGGGAAACGAGTGAGCGAGCAACGGGCGATGATAAGAAACTAAAGCATGACGGAGGACAGTGATTGTATGAGATAACACATCTTCTGAGCCCAGCGTCTCTGGCCGATGGAGGGCTGAGAAAGAGAGACGATGTATTTTTTTGTCCATAAAGCCTTTTTTTGTCTGCATTATCCTACTGACCAAAAAAACAATAAGTGTTAGGAATCTTTAATGAAATTTTTAGAGATTGAAATCTTTAATGTGCAATTGGAAGACATCCTCCTAAAACTTCAGCTTTCTTTCTTGTTTTCGAATTAGCAATTTTCCTGCCAAAACTTTCACGTGCTCGCAGTGGACCATCAGACGTGCCTGAGAATTGGTACCACGTTTCTGGAATATATGCATTCTCAAGAATACGCAAAAACGCATAAAAACCATGATAATTCTCTTTTATTGTGATTTTTATGCGCTTCAATCCCCCAATTTCACGGTCCCCACAGACAGTGTCTTCTGCTGTTTACGAAATATTCTTTGGCGGGAAGAGCAACCGGCGCCACTTCCCGCCAAGGTGTATTTCGCAAGCAGCAGACGAGACATTCGGCGGCGAGGGGGGGGAGGGAGGGAAGGAAGAGGTGATACCCGGGGATGAGGGTGAGAGGGGAAAGGTATTTGGCGCGAGAAGAGGGTCGGTAAACAACCGGCCGTCTCTTCGCGCCAAATATCTTCAAACTGTACATGCACAGAGAAGTGGAGGGGTCGTGTAATCAGAAAATTGCCTTTTTTCAAAAAAAAGAAATTAACAAATTTTTCTTTTAACAATCTTTTTCAACAAAAAACAAATTATTTTAAATTTTCTAATTTTAACAGTTTTTAGTTTTCAA